GCGAGGTCCGCGGGCAACTCGGCACCCCTCCGCGCCCTCCCTCGCCAAACGCCAGAACCGGCCTCCAGCAGGCGTCCCTCAGCCCAGTCCGCGGGGGCGGCGCCTCGGCGTGCGCGGGGGTCCCCGCCGGCCCTCGCCCGTGCCTGTCGCCTCCGTGGTCAGGGCCGCTTTATCCCGCTCTATGTGGAACGCGCCTCTCACTCATCACTCAAGTCTGACGAGAGGGTCAGTCAGTGATTAAATACTTAAACACCCCTCTAATCCTGCCCCCCAAAGCATAAGCAAAACCCAAGCTGCCAGGCCTGTAACACCAGCACCCCCAGTCTGGGACCCTCAGAGCCCCAAGGCCACCAGAAACCGAGGTGCTGTGGTGGCAGAGGCGGCCGAGGGCAGGTCTGGGCGGCCCGGCTGGCCCGCGGGAGGGAGGCGCTCCCCAGGGTGGCTGGAAGCTGCAGGGAGACCGGCCGGCGGCCACAGCCCGCCACACCTCGCAGGCGGCCACAGCCTCCAGCCGCCCCCAGGTTTCAGGGAGCCCGGCAGAGCCACCTCCGCCGTGGGGCACCTGCACCCCACGCCGCGCCCGCCCTGGACAGGGCAGCAGTGAACGTGGAGACGACAGGGCAGCCACGGGGGCTGTGGATTTATTATGACATTCGCGACACAAACAAGCCAGCGCAGACGGGTGGCGGGAGGCCGCTGGCTGCCAGGGCAGCGGTCACAGAGGTCAGGGGGCTCCAGCTGGGGCTCGTTCTCAGCTCCGCCTGCTGCCTGGTGAGGACGGAACGGACCGGACGCGAGCGGCATATTGCCAGAGCTTCAGGCTCCACCAGAGCCGCCTGCTGGGTCCGACACCCGCCTCTGCGCAGACCGAAGGCCACGGTAGCCTGGGCCTGGTCCAGGCCCGCCCAGCCCCGGCCGGGCCTCAGGAGGTGGGCATCTCGCCCTGCAGTCTCAGCCAGGGGCTTCGGCGCCACCTGCAGTGGCTCCTGGGGCCGGAAGCCTCCGTCAGCACCCAGACCGCGCTCCGGGGACAGGTGGGAGCCGCCCGCCGCCCGCCGCCCGCCCGCCGGCTCCAGTGTTGGAGAGGAGGAGTCAGTCCCATTCCTCTGTCTCAGCCCCCCGAAATCACGATAGCAAAGTGTAGCAACGAGAGGTATTTCCGTTTCATCGTCCGCTTCCCCGGGTGGGGGCAAGTTTCAGCCCATCCACAGGCCAGCTCAGAAGCGTGGGCGGGAGGGAGGGCCGGGACCCCGACAGAACCCCGGCCTGCTCGGCGCCACGACGAGTCCC